GGCAAGGGCAAGGGTGAGGCACGCATGCAGCTAGGCAATGTAGGCATGCATCATGCACCTCGAACGCCATATATGCGAGGCGTTTGCGCCCCCACACACGTCGTCTTTATAACGCTAAAATGGAATCGCTGATTGAAGGCGTTTGAAGAGAACTCGTGACTCAGACTCACGACTGTTGATGAGCGTGAGTCTCGCAAGAGGCAGTCGGGCAGTCAGGCACCGGTGCCAGGGTGTCCGGGATGGTGGCGGCCGCGAAGCCATCGAAGCTGCAGGGCCAAAGGCCACGCACAACAAGATCACCTATGATGCTGGTTGATGTCGGCCTTCCTACACAGCACCCAATCATTCGAACGTCCAAGCCGCGAGGTGTGAGGGGATGATCGTTCATCAGTCACGAAGCTCGACCTGCGGGCATGTTGCCAGCGCCATGCATGGATTGACTTGAAGCTTGTTGAGATTCGCCCCTAGGACTGGCACTGATCAACATCCGAGGGCATATTCAAATTCTTATTATACCAGCTCGCACGTGCTAACGCACCCTCATGCCCAGCAGTTTGGTCCGCTCAGGCAGGCAGGCATCTTATCCGTGACGTTGCGCCGCTGTGCATGGGGCTAGTGGGAGCCAAGCATGCCTTCTTACCAACGCGCTGCAAGTTGCCAGGCTCGAACAGCGGCCGGCTGCGTGTAGGCGGGAGAGCAAGGTGCGATTCTTGTGGCACGAATTCTTGATTGTTAGCCAGCAACGGTGCGAGAGCGTGCTGTGGTAGCGTGCAAGACCCTTCACTCGAGAGAAGCGCGTTGGTGGCAAGTGCGTGCTGACTGTTGAGTAGTAGTAGTAGTGCACGTGTATGAACGCCTTGTGCTGCCAGCCGAGGGCGTTGTTGGCGTTCGCCGCACGAGGTCAGAAGCAAAGCCCGCAAAGATGCGAGGTGATCGAAATCGCCTATTGAACGCTCAAACGTTTACCAGTGGCGAGTGAGCGGCTCTGAGAGTCACAGTGGAAGCGCGTCGAGGACGGCGGCCGTTATGGCGATGGCCAAGACCGCGCTTGCGCAACAGAAAAGTCGTGAGTCGTTAGTGTTCATTCGCAAGGAAGACGCACCGAATGTCAAATTCGCCCCGCATGACGTAAATAGCTCTCACAAAAGGCTTCGCATGTCCAGGTGCATATGCCAGTCACAAGTGAGTCTGAGTGGGTTACGTCCAATTGTAAGTGGCTTGAAGCTTGAACATCGCCAGGCCGCAATCAGCCATCACCGCCTTGCCGACCCGACTGCCGAGTCGAAGACGCCGCGCTCGGAGCGAATACGTACTCAAGATTCACGATCCACGATTGCCGAAGTGGAATCTCGGCCTCGCGATGCAGGGAAGAAGAACACTCACGACTGGCATGCAGGCTGTCGACGCTCACCGCAACTTGATCTCCAAATCGATGAAGACGCCCACCGAGCGCCAGCTGCATGCAAGGAGGCGACCAGCACAAGGCGCCGCATCGTATCGACGCTTTAGGGGCGCTCCAACGCAGCTCCGGCGGTCCTCATCCGGATGCCTCACAACAAGAACGACAATGCGAAAATCACAGGCATGCAGAGTGAATACGTGACCGCGGCCGAGACACCTCGACCGGCGCAAATTTCCAAGCTTCTTCGTCGATTCGACACGAGCTGGTTGCTGACCATGGGACTGTGCGCATCTGAGCGAGCCCTATCAGATATGAGCACGCAGATCGAGTCGATTCAAGTCAAGAACCATCAGACGTATGCAATTTGAGGTCGGCAGAGGTGCACAGTGGCGGAGATGAACCGCAAGGACGAGCGGTCGAGACCAAGAAGTTCTGTTGCTTGAGGGGACGAGTCGAGAAGGGGCCCCAGACATGTACTTTTCGGGGCGAAGAAGCAATCCTTCGAGTGGAGCACCTAATCTAAGAAGCCTAGGGAGTGCCTTCACCTCAAAGCTTTGGATGAACGGTTTTAGGCTTCGTATGATGATGTGCTCCAGGGTGACCAGGCTTGTCATGTTCTTTGCGGCCTCTATGTGAGAGATTGCCATGCTTTTCGTGACCTTGAAGCGTCTTCTGCTTGGCAACTTTGTGCTTCTTGTGCGCTTTTGCGTGTTTGTCGTGTTTGTCGTGTTTCTCTTTCTCGCCTGCGTGATGGCGATGATGGTGGTGGTGATGATGGCGGTGTTTTTTGCGAGGATGTCTGCGTGGTGGGGCGGGTCCTTTGAGCTATTCCGAGCGATAGCGAGTCCATGGTGAGAGTGGGTCCATTTCAAGCCGTGGCGCAAATAAGATTGGTGGAAGAGGAGGAAGTAGATTAGATGGTAAGGACAATCGTCAGAGCGAGGCAACCAAGCGTAACTGCAATGAGGGGCTTGGCGAGGATAGTAGGGAGAGAGCCAGAGGAGCCAGTGCCGCTTCCACCGCCAGAAGAGTCTCCGGAAGAGCCGGAGGAAGAGGTGGTGGTGGAGGAGGAAGAGGAACCGCTGCTACTACTAGAGTCGCTCACGTTCTGTGCTCTCTGCGCACTCAGCCCTTCCACAAAGAGGAACTTCTGACTCTCAGGTGCCGTCATCATCAGGTAATCCCTTAAAAGAGGCAAGTAATTAGAGGTGAGCGCGCATCCTGCAACTCCTTCCGCGCACATACACTCACTCGTGCGCAGTGTCAGCGACGTAATTGAACGTGTGGGACTGGGGCTTGCCACCCGGAAGACCATCAAGCGCCTTCTCAAGATTCTGGCCTCTTTGCAAATGGCTGCTTCCCTGCGTCGCAGCCTCGCAGTGAGTGTCGCCTCCCTCCTGATCTGTGAGTCCCAATGCGTATTGCACCTTGCGCGAGAAGTACTGCTGCAGGACACCGTCCTTGTTCTTCTTAGCGTCAGCAGAGCGGTAAGCTGGGACTCCATTGTCGATGGAATAGGACCAGTCCTGCACGCCAGTACAGCCTGCTGCCGCCTGTATAGGGGTGCTGTCGACGGGCCAGACGTACGAGCCTGCAGAAATCGGAGATAGCGGCCATGAGTACGTGTGCTTGCGCGACACCCTTGTGGCCGAGATCATGGCTTACCTGGGTTTCCGATCCAGTACGACACTGAAGTGTCTTGCGCACTAGGTCGGCCTGGTAGAGCGAGTCATTCAAGTCAGCCCATCATCGCGGGTGGTGAAGGAACAGTACGATACCTACGAAGCACAGCATATCTTTGCGTCAGAGATGCTCCGAGCGAGTGTCCGGCAACGATGACCTGGCGCCAAACGAGGAGATGAGGTTGAGTGAAGTTCAGCGTCGGTGCAAGACATTTACCGCACGCATTTGCGGGCCGAGCTGCCCTGGGCGGAGCCGCCCAATTTGTCACGCGGACGTGTTCTGCCTCAGAAACTCACGGAAGCGACATTGGGAAATTCGCTGCTAAAGAACCTGTCGATCACTCGGTCCAAGACTTCCATGCTGGAGACCGAGGTAGATCCAGGTCCTTTGCTTTGGCTGCCGACAGCCCACCCACCGCTGGAGAAGTAGATGTCGCCATCCTGAGCGGCTCCTGCATTCTTGTCGTCTTCCGACAACCAAGCAGGCGCGGCTACGATGACGTCTTGCAGCGTTACGTCCATGTCTGCTCTCGAAACGGCGCAGAGCAAGCTGTTTCGCATGATGTTGACGTAGCTATACGCAGGCACGGAGATGAGGTCAGCAGCGCAAAGAAGGGGCGATCGAAAGGCCGAGCTCGCTTGACGTACCTCCACGAATCGCGAGGCAGACCGGGCTGAACCAGAACGACACGCTTTGCCTTCTTGAAGTCTTTGTTCGACTCAATGTATACGGGCTGCACACCACCTCCGACGTTCAGCTTGCGATCCAAGTCGAACCCAACAATTTGAGGAAGACCTTGCCAGCCGGCTGTAGGCGAGCCATTGACGTTGGCAGTGCCGATAAAGACGGTTGGGCACTCTGGACGTTGACTGTTCTTGTCCCTGCCGCCGTTGCCATTGATAATGACCGTCTGACCGGGACTATCTCCATCCTTGGCACCTGGAGCTGCATCTCCATTTTGGTAGTTCTGTTGCAGGTACTGCTTGTTGAATGCATCGTCAGCCTTTCGAGCTGCGAGGTGCTGGTGGTGAGGCTGACCTTTGCCTCGGGCTTCGGTGCTGAGCAAGACAGTGGCGAGTAGCACCAAAGAGGTCGTCAAGGAGATCAAGCGCGTCATTGTCGTGATTGCGTGAACGGAAACAATAGAGGCGAGGTTGCGGGACTGGCAAGCCGAAGTAAGGAGCCGATGCTCCGGGTGTGAGGGAGAAGTTGTGAGGGAGAAACTTAGGTGACCCGGTGAAGAGGCCCTACTTTCTATGCTTTTGATCGTGCGAGAGGGGAAAGCACGACACCTTAGCGCGGAACTTGAAGTGCTTTGACGGAGTTCTCAAGAGGCAGCCGGTCGGTGGTCGCGATTCAAATACAAGTTGGGTGGATGAGCAGACACAGGAACAGGCTCCAAGTGGCGACTGCGCGAACGGGTGAGAGGTTGACCTCGAGGACAAACAAAAGGGCGAGGGGGTCAAGAAGCGGACGAATGATGGTGCTGAAGAAGATGCTGAAGGTTGAAATCAGAATTTGAATGGCAAGACCATCGTGTTGCACCTTTTAAGCCAACTCTGTCGCCCCTCGCTGTTGCCTTCAGTCGTCCGGCACGGTTGAAGGCTCGCCCATTGGACCCCCGAGCTTCCGCGCATTTAACTCGTTGAGTGGCTTGGAGCATGCACAAATCGACGTGGCGCTGGGCGGGAGGAAGAACGCGGGTGTGCAGGAGCCATGCAGGAGCGCATGCAGGCGGACTCACGACTAGCGCGGTTCCTATGTGAGACGGGTGAGTCGGTGGGGCATGCAGGCACCCGCCCACTCACGACGGTGTGAGGTGTCATTCACGATTGTTGCCTAGGCGCCCGCACCCCTGCGAACTATAGCTGTGATCCAGCAAACAGCACCCATGCAAGACTCACGAGTGCATGCATGCCTGCTGGGGCGGACCAGGCGACACGGCGCGCACCATTCGATTCGTGAATCACGAATGAGGTGCTGCATGGGGGAGATTGCTGATAATTCCGTCTCAGTTGCGATCGAGGCGCGACGTCAGCTGCATGTTTGATTGATACAAGTCGAGTCGAGCCGATATGCCAGTCATGCGTCTGTCTGATCATCGAGCGCAATGACCCGACAATTGGGTCAAAGCAAGACTCACAACTGCTTCACACTTCACACGCAACAACAAGCTCCGCCCAGGCACGCATTCGTGATTCACAACTTCAACTTGTCCATCCTTGAACCCTTGCGCGTTTCGTTCACTGTTGTGAACTTCAGCAGCCCGGCCTATACCGAGTTGCGGTCCGAGGCGTGCCATGTGATCGTCGCTGAGCGCGAGTCCGGATCAAAGTGGCAGCAGAGTGATGGGCGTCAACACGCAACACGCAACTCGCTCAGCGGCTCATCAACTCAAAACTTGTGACATGGAAAGTTGATGTGTGATCCCCATCTCCTCGTAGCTCAGAACCGGAACGGGCCTCAAAGCTCTCATCAGGTGGCAAAGGTAAGATTATGAGACCGAGCAATTCGGAGCGCGTAGAGATCGTGGGGCAGCAGCGCGACGTGAAGAAGGTGCACAGCAGAGATTCAAGTAGGGTGTGTTCGATGTTCCCTAGACCCCTCGGTACCCTTTATACATGTCTATCATATTCCTGCAGACTGTGTGTTTGCGACCAAAACAGAAATTGGGCGAAAAAAGGGAAAGAGGCCAGCGCAACGTCAGAACGGCGAGCGCGTCGCAGTCGTATATCGCACACTCTGCGCCGGATGGAGGCGACTGCGTGCACGTCACTTTGTGCAGCGCGCGCGTTGGGTCGCAGCGTAGCAGGGTCGCACCTCACTTAGTAAGGGCGCCAAAGCCTTGCCCGCGCAAGTCGTCCGGCCGTTGCCACAACCGCGGAGCGAAAGAGCAACGACTCCAACCGAGGCTAAAGGCAAAACTCCGACAAGGTCTTCTGGTGTGCCATCTCATTCGTGATTGGGAAATTGCAAGGATGACAAAAGGAGAGAACTAGGAGGCGAAGGGCGTTGTGTAGAGAGAAGGCTTCCTCGTTTCGGTGATCAAGGGACAAGGGCAGGGTAAGCGCTGGCATTGTCAAGCGCTCAAATTTTGATGGGGAAACAGCGATGCAGACTGTGAAAGACATTCGAGAGGTTGACAGCAGCGATGCGTGATCTTCGCAAGAAGTGCGGAGAGGCGCGAGCTTGCTGGAATGTGTACAAAGAGAAGGAAGGCAAACGTAAGTTAAGCGGTGAAGGGAAGTCAAGCATCAGCGGCGTTCGTCGAGCGGATTCGTTCGGACAGGTACATCTACAGAATGGGCGGGGACCAAGATTGATAAGCCACGCGAATGGAGCTACGATTGCGGATGTTGTTGATGTTGCTGTTGCAAAAAGGATATTTCATCGTCTGCAAAGAAGGCTTCCCAGTCGAGCTGACCATTGTTGTGCAATTCCGAAGCGCCCAATGTCGCATCGATCGCCGCAGCGTTGTGGTTGAGCGCTCCGCTAGAGGACGCCGAGGCGTCCGTGCTGCTTGTCGGGCGATGTGCCAAGCGTTCAGCATAAGGCTCGGACTCCACCTTGACGCCCGAGTCGTCAGACGACGCTCCGGCACCACCGCCCCTCGCCTTCGACCACGAGATGACCGACGAGAACGACCTCGAGGTATCTGCTGATACATTACCTTCGGGTTGGAACATAGAACCGGTGGAAATGCCATCGCGCAAGGCTGGCCCTCCAGCTCGTTGATCGTTGCCATTCCTCTGCGAGGGCGGCTTGGGATACGACGTCAACTGCGCAGGTGGGGCGAAGCGAGTCGATGCGGCTGGGGAATCCGACGCATCCTTCGAATCGTTCACGTCCGAAGCGCTTGGTGTGTGAGAAGCAATGCCTGTATCGCGCTGGCGAGCTTGAGCTTCCTGTCTCTGCGCAACGCTCGTGGGGACAAAGACATTTCGAATGCGTGGCGCTGAACCGTGCAAATGCGCATCCGCAGATTCCGTCCCTTGTTTCGGAGGCGGTCGCGCTTGCTGTAGAAGAACGGGGGGGCGGAAGGGATCAGGATGGACATGCCCGTCTCTGGGCCATCCCCCGCTCGCCTCTGTGACCCCACTCGAGAGCCCGAATGGCTCGAGTGGTTGCTGAAAAGGGAAAGAAGCAGGGCCAGCATGGGAGGTCTGCCGGTCTGCGCCCGAGTCCATGAAAGGATCGTCAAACTTGACTTCTTCCGAATCTTGACTCCACTGATGTACAAGCTGATTTGCCATTTCGTCTACCCAGCCCTTGCCTGATGACGGAAGAGGTGCGGCGTGCGGCTCGCTGTGCGTTGCAAACGACTGAGCTGGCTGCTTCGCAGAGCTGAGAAACACTGGCTCTGATTGCCCTGATGAAGCTGTCGAGTGCATCCTAGATGCCGAAGATCTGCTCATGAAAGACGATGCAGCTGGAACTGACGAAATGCTGAAGGCAGAAGTGGTGCTGTCAGCCGAGGCAGGCAGTGCATTCGGTAGATGCTCGTATGCGTCACCGCTCGTCGAGGCGGGCTGCAGACCGTCTTGGGACGGAGCAGCGCTCAAAGCTGACAGGTAGCTGTCACCAAGAAGTCGAGCGACCATCTCACGCTCATCAGCACCTACGTCGCCGATCATTTCGGGCGGGAAAGCATCAAAGTCGGATGTGGAAGCGAGCGCTGCACCAACACCTCCGTAGATGTCGAATTGCTGAGCGTCGACTCCGTTTGAACCGGTGTCAGGCATGTTGGCGAGGCTAGGATCGAAGGCCAGAGCGCTAAAAGGCTCGATAGGCGAACTGCCAGCCAGGCTTTGGAGTGGCATTTGGCGCGGGCCTACAAGAGCCGCCGTAGGAAAGCGGTCCGCGGAGCTAGCTGACCATGTTTGATTGTGGGAAGCGTCGGTCGGGTGCGCCGGAGGGTTGGACGCATTGCTGGACAGCGTCGAGGCACGACGTCGCGCTGCTAGGGCAGATTGCTGCGCATCGGCAGCTTCGACCTGCTGCTGAAAGCTCCCTCTCGATTTGGGCTCGTGCGAAGGACCGCTTCCCGATCTCCTAAGGCTAGATCCCTGACGTGAGACTGGCGGCCGTTTGGCGAGGCCGCGCGAGCCCCTCGAATCGGCGCTGGGATGCGCCGAGATGGAATGCCTCGGCGAGCTTGGCGACTGCGTCTGGTACGGGGCGGGGCGGTCTCCAGAGCCCGAGCGGACGGCTACTCGAGGGCGTGCTGGTCTGCCTCCTTGCTGCGTGCTGGCCCGCTCGATGGAGGCTCCGGCACTCTGAGGTGGAGGTGGGACAGCGTAGGGATATTGCTGCGGCCAGGGATGGTGCAGGCTCAATGGATCAGCCTGAAAAGGCAGGTATCCGACGCCAGGCGTGTACATGGAAGACGCTGAGGACCTCCGCTGATCAGCGAGCGCCGCGTCCGCCCACGCGTCTGGGATGCCAGAGGAAGATCCATGAAGTCCATACGCAGGCAGCGCATAGACGTCTCGTGTCTTCTTGTTAGCCAGCGCAGCCGCTGCCCTGTCGTCTCTCGACTTTTGCAGCTTGGCAGTGACGCGAGGTGCGAACTTGTAGTCTGGGAACATCCGTCTGTGCTCCTCTTTGCGCTGCTCAGCCAGCTGATAGTAGTACTGACGCACCTGCGGCTTCTCATTCTGCCAGGAAGACGCCAGACGTTTGCTCAGGTCGCCCTGCCTGGGATTCTTGTGCGCGCCGCCACTCGCAGATTTGCCGGGAGCAGCAGCACTTCCAGAAGCTTCCGCACCTTCGCTCTCCGAATCTTGACCCGCAGTGTCAGAGCCCGTTGCGAGTGGAGAGAGGCGAAAAGGCTGGTCGTTCGATGGCTCAGACGCAGCTCTGAGCTTGTCGGATCGATACAAAATCCAGGCATTGGGCGGCCGTGGGATTCCAGCCGATTGCTCCTGCGCCTTGCTACGGTGGAATTTCTTCGTCGGCGGTGGCGCACCGATAGCACAGATGGCGCTTGGATCTGATGCGGGGAAGGGTTGCGAAGGCTGGGATGAAGGTCCACTGGCTGGAACCAGCATGGTGGGACCGGACGAAGGTCCCATCCTGCGATGCCACGCTGAGCTCAGATGGCCACGACGAGGTCGCTGGAGTACGAGCGCTGGACGAGACCCTTGACGGCTAGGGTATCCGCAAACTGGTAATAGCCTTGGGCATGCGTTGTTGCGTGGCGATGTCTTGCCATCGAATCGCTGCGAGCGGGCAGTCACGAGTGCGATGGCTCAAGTTGTGCTCCTCTGCCAGATTCGAGCTCGATGATGCAAGCAGCGGCGCCCAACACGCGCTGACTCCTCGAACAGATGTATATAGAGACTCACGACTCACGTTTGCGCGGCAAAGCGAGACAGGCGATCCGAACCTGGATGCAGCGGCAGGACCAGCAGCAGCAGTAACCAAGTCGGGCTGCTCCGAGCGCGTGTGCCGAGCGCAGACGCGATGACCGTCTTGGGTGCTGCTGCTGCTTTGGATTGAGCCAACGTAAAGAATGCCGCCCGCGCTGAAGCGCTCACGCAGTCAGTCGACCCAATCCCGCGCGCGTTCGTCAAAGTGTTGCTCGATCGATGGGAAGGGCCGTTGCGCGCGTGACTTGCTTGATCGTCACGGCCGGGCGTTGTGGCGATGCGATGTCTTTGTGTGCTGGACAGCAATTCCGCGAGATGATTTGTTAGCGAGGCGCGCGTCGCAGAAGTCGAAGTCGAATCTATGCTTCGTGACTGGGACTGCTGCTGCGACTCGAATAAGGACCTGCTCGTCTAGCGCAGTCGCCTGGTCAGACTTTTCCGCTATATCGGTGAGCTGTGCCCTCCGCAGCTTGCTTTCGCAATCGCAATTTGAGTGCGAGAGCGAGCTGGGAAAGGATTGACTGAGCTAGAAGCTGAGGCGCGTGATGAGGCGCAGACGGTTAATTGCTGATGGGCGATAAGTGCTGATGAGGTCGATGCAGATGAGTCATTGCTCATAGCTTAGATGAGACACCGCACCTGCACGCGCGCAAAATCGCTCGATCGCTATACAGCACGATCGAAGTGCTAGGTCCAGTGCACTGGACGGCGTAAGCTTCGAGGGGAGGAGGCGTGGCCGCGGATGGATGGTCGATGCTGGATGAAGGGTGAGTTGAATGGTGAATCTGAATGTTTCAGAGCCGCATGACCGCGCGCGTGAGCGACGTGTTGGTCGATTACCCCACCGTCTGATCGAATGATGAGGATGAGGCGAGAGTGTAGGGCACAAGTCGCTCCTGTCCACCTCGAGCTCATGTCCATGCGAGAGCTTTGGATGTGCTTGCTTGTAAATGGTAAGGATGCGGGTCAAGTTGTGTTGCGCCCTTTGGCTGTGTGCTGCTGCGCATTTCGACGTGATTTGAGCTTTCCCGCGCGGTGCGCGATGCGCGATGCGCTACATGTGCTGCTACCCGCCGCGTCCCTTTAGCCGAGCTGCACGCACAGCACAGCACCCGTGCGTTCGATTAAGTTTTCCTTTTGTTTGAGCAACTGTTGTTCTCCGCGGACATTTGCACCCTTTGGCATCTATATACATCCCGCACCTTGATGCAGCACGTTTCCCACGAATCGCTCATAATCACCAAAGTCACACTCTCTCCACTTCGGATGTCCGACGGCCGCTGATGTTCAAGAGAAGGGATGCAAGCTGCAGTCACGAGTAGCTCTCGGCAAGCTGGAAGCTGCAATTGTGGCCGTCACGGTCGAGCAACCACGCACGCATGCACCGAGACGGGCCACTTGTTGATTGTTGCTCGTGAGATCCGAAGCGCCTCGCGCTAGTTGTCTCGTACCAAGTCACAAGTGTCGTGGTCAAGAAGGCAAAGACAGCCGCAATGACGCAGCGGGAAGCTGTACTTGACATTCGTGGTTGTGATTGTGACTTGTGTGATGCGCAGCGACGAGAGGTTTAGGTGCGCAGGCTCCAGCCCCTGCAGCCAACATTCGCGCGCACACCGCTCCACACCTTCGGGAATGTGAATGAATGAAGGCACATCATTAAAGACCGCTCCGCTCGCCGTGTGCCATGCGCATGGGTAAACGTATGGCTTTGAGAGCATCACGACCTTCTGTGTCAGAGGATCAGAGAGTCGGAATGGTCATGTCATGCCGTCTCGTGGACGAGATGCGATTCAAGTGAATGCTTAAAAGTGTAAGCGCAAAACCCACATGCGCAAGGCACGCCGGCAATCGGGAATGGAGTCGAGTCGAGTCGCGTCGCGTCGCCTACGCTAAAATGGTTGTTCGAGGACAAAGGAAGATAGATGACACATGCGCATACTGTACAAAAGTGCTTTGTCCAACAAGCGCTATGGCCTTGATTTCCAGTCAGGCTCCTCTCCACGTAGGTCACATCTATCTTGCAAAAGCAATTGTAAAGCTTGGATAGCTTCGATGCAACGAGCGAAAGAAATCCACATTTGCTGGTCCGCGTCTTGTACCGTCAGGGTTGATCGAGCCTTGCACGCAACACTCAAATGGCTGATGGGACCTTACGAAGTCTTTTCTTAGTCTTGCATGAGGGCAAGTCCGGCGGTTGTTCAGTGTCGGGCTCGATCACCCACACCGACATTGTCTGGTCTGCTCTTCGGTATCGCCTTTCAGCTGCGAGGACGCAATACGAGTGGTGTCACCGTGTGCTGTGAGAGAACGGTGCGACTCGCAAGTATAGCGTGCGTACCGGCCCACCGCTCAGTCGCGACGGGCAGGTTGCAGCTGGAGAACCAGACAGAGTGTCTTGATCGCCAAGCACAAACGCGAAAGCACTCCGCGAGCTGGTCGGCAGATGCGTTGTCGTGATGCTCTTCTCACTCCGAACATCTCTAAGCTGAGGACACAGCCACGGGACGTGCTCAGACGTTCGAGAGGAGGGTGCCTTGCAGAGCAAGAATGCTAGAGCAGACGTGCATTGATCCCTGCTATTCCTTGAACTTGGATTGTGCCAATATAGGCCAAAATAAAGCTGCTTAACGCTCACGAGTTTCATCACGAACTCTATTTCATTTAGCATGTGCAGCAGCAAAGCGAGCAGCAGGCGGCTGCCCATACCGAGTTGTCGCTTCTGCACGCATGATTAAGGACAGTGTCACACAAGGTACTCCATGCCTATCAGTAGCGGAGCCGAGCTGCATCGGGCCCGCCAACAAGCTCGTGCCGTCGCCGAACTGTCCATTCGTTGTTCTCAGTCTTCTTTTGTCACGAACGTCTCATCTGGAGTGTCCCACATACCAGGTGTCATGCGATCAACGGCTCTCTCGGAAGTTCGAGCAATCACGCGAACGAGCGCCCAGGAATTGTCGCACACTAATGTCCTCGCGCTGGAGCACAGAAACAGCTCCATCAAATTTTCTCACAAAAGTGATGTGACGCTTCGGTGTAGTCTGTAGCGTATCGAGCCAAATGCCCAGCGATCACTTCTTGCTCTTCTTCGGATCACTTCTTGCCCTTCTTCTGCATCAAGCGGAACCAATTTCAACGCTGGGATCTGGCATTGATCGGTCGCGGTGCAGCATACAGAACTCACGGCTTTCTCGGCCTCCGCTTCCTCGATAGCCTTTGTTCGTCTACGAATGCATCCAGACACATAGACATGGAACGACTCAGCTTCTGAACCCTCTTGCTGATGTTTTACAAATATGCACAATACTCACACCCAGTCATTGAGGCCTCGCCTGTTTCGTGCGATCTCGTAGGCGTAGAATTGCATGCGCGTGACTGGGAGAGAAGGGGCATGTAGCTTTCGAAGCGTGAGCTCGATCACCAGGGTCGAGGATCGGCCGCTGCTGACCGATTCCTTTGCCTGTGTGGCACCCGAGCCTCATTGGAGCGAGAAACTCACCAAAAGTTGTGTTGTACTGTGTGTATTCCTCAGCGGCGTCGGTGCGAATCAAAGTCCCGAAGTTGTAATCCGCAACTGCGAAGGAGCGGGGCGTAGCATGGTCAGTAGAGCTGAGGTTGAAAAGACGACAGCTCGAACGCTGTCATTTGCTCCATACAGAGCGCTCGTAAGCAAGCTGGAAGAGATGCATTCCTTTGGACATCGCATACACCCTATTGCCACGCGACCCACGCCGATCTGTCCGGGCACGGCGTTTTAAGACCAGAGGGACGAGCGTGATGGCTCTCGTGCGCCGCCAGTCCAGCTCGGGGCATCAAGATGATGCGAGCAGCAGAGCTTGCCGCAGGCAAATGGAGCCCTGTCTTTCGACACTCACCCTTGTTCTCATACTTGTTGATGAATTCTCTCCACCTTTCTTTGCCAGAAGGGCTCTTCATAAGTTCCTCGTCGAGCTTCGCAACGCTGCCTGATCCTCCCTCCTTAAGATCAGGGAAAGCCTCTTCTAGGTGAGCATAGATTTCGTCGTCCAACTTGGTCAGCCTCAAAGACTTTGGCTCCATCTTCTCCAGCAAGTTCCAGTAGATCTGAGCGTGCTCCACGCACTTGACTGCCATCTGCTTTTCGATCTCTGGCAGATTCTGTGCCCTGTTGGGGTCGAAATTTTGCGTAGTCATGTTGTGCAAAAGGGCTGAGAGGGGAATGGGAGTTCAAGTCTGCTGAGGGCGAGCGGAGAATAGCTTGAACAGACTGGTGTGGATTGAGGAGCGTGCGATCAAGCGTAGTTCAGGTCCGTCTTCTCTAAGGGTGACCAGAGGTACTCGACTGAGATGGATCACAGCGAGTGGATACGAAGGCCCTCGTTGCGATGACGAAAATGTACGAGCAGGTTGAGAAATTCGGATGGTGGACTTGAACTGTATAGAAGTGAGAGCCAGAGAGGGGACACCTCAAGACCTAACCAACATCAAAGTTGATCTCTCTCGTTGTGTGGGTCAAGGCTTGCATGCCTCTCTAGACATACGTCGCACGGCCCTCGCCTTGTGCTGTCCCCGTGCAGCCACGGTGTGCACACCATGTCCCGCGCCCCCAGGAGCCCCAGGTTGGACGGCGTGTGCGCCAGCGCCAACTTTGGCCTGTCACCTCGGGTCACGTGGCTACACAAGAAGATCTGCATTGATTCTTGATTCTTGATTCTCGATCAATTCAAGATTGGTGATTTTCATTCAAGATTTTGATTATTGCATATAATGGGAAATCAAAATCGAGATGCTTGGAGAGCGGATATTATTTGAAGCGCGCTCGAATCGTTCGAGGTTGATGAAAAGACTTTCGACTTCCGGGATAAGGAAGTACCACATGCATGCAGCAGCTCGGCTTTCTGGGTCACAGAACCGAATGAATTAACAATTAACATTCAAATTTGTGGTTGCTGCATGATCATATGGAAAACGAGGCAACGCGCGAAGATGCTATTTCTTGATTGAAAACGTGTGCGAGGCGCCCCGCAACCTCGATCATTCTCGCCATACAGCACCAGTAGTCGACGTGGTGACAAGAGGCAAAGATTCCAATAAGTCTTGCGCCCTCACCGCACACAACGCATTTGCCCATCTATGCTGTGCAGACGAGCTTCAAAGATCTTGCTCGAGTGATCTTTTGGCGTCTGGTCCACCGAGCCATTTCCTCCCTGCAGGACTGCTTCACCCAGGTTCCTGCGCAAGCGGACACACGCGAACGCGAGGTAGTGTGCACTTGACCGTCTACGTATGGCGCAGCGCTACTACTCCCCGGGTATGGTACTGTGAGAGGGCAGGAATCTCAATCGAAAACATGGCTCGCCGTGACGCTGCACCGTCGTTGCAGGAAGGAGCCTCAGCGCAGGCAAGCCTGGCTGCAGTGGACGATGCGGAAGAGGGAGATCTCGGACAGAGCCGCAGCTCGACACCAAGTCGCCACTCTGCCAGCTTGCAGAACGCTTCTGCACACATGGTCAGAGCTCTTCCGCCTTCAGCCGGTGCCGGTCCGCCTGCTTCGCAAAGCTTGTCGTCATCGGAAAGAGCAGCGTCTGCTTCCCAGTGGATGTACAACCAACGCGTGCCTCAGCATCTCCCGTCCAGCTCCTCGAGCTCTAATCTTTTCAGCCCGGGCTCTCACACACCAACGTCGACCGGCTCCACGGCGGTCGCATCTCGAGGTGCTGAGCGGAGGACCTCTGCTGGCGGAGGAGACCTCGCTTCGCTCGCCGCTGGCGATACTTTGCCGCAGATGGGCATGATGGGAGGCAGCGAGACCTACTCTGAGGCCGCATCCCCGCCAGCGCCTGAGTATGGTGTTGCAGTGAGCACGAAAACATCGCTCCTCGTCCCTCAAGACGGCCTCACGACTGGAGCTAAAGTGAGACGACATAACCAAACGAGCGAGCAAAGTACATCAACATCTCGACGAAGGCAGACGGACCCAGAGTCCCCTAGTGGCCCAGTAGGCGGGCCCTCGGAGCTGCGAAGGGAGGCTCTGCAGCGATGGGTCTTGAGCGTCGGCTGCGTCAATTTCGACTTGGACAGGGGGCCCGACCTGGAGTTCTTGTACCCGCCTCTTGGCATTTCCCGAGAGGAGAGGGACAACATGTGAGTGTAATGCGCTAGGCGGGGACGAACGTGCGTTGGACGTCGAAGATAGCGGCGATGAGTAGGAGCGGACACCCAGGAGTCCGGATGGTGAGGAGTGGAGGGTGGACGAGTTTAGAGATTGACGGGGCCTTTGAGGTCACATTCCCACTAGCAGCTGACCTTGTAGGCCACCTACTGTTAGTGCTTTCTCATCCTTCCCAGACACGTCCATCTTCGATGATGGCTATTGCGTCTTCTCTTGGCGGGTCAGGGAAGTTCCTCTGAGCTCGTCCGGCTCTGAGCCTCCCGCAATTGCGTCATCTGCTGCCGGGAAGAGCTCGACCCTTCCGAGCCGCCAAAACTCCTCGAGACGGGTCAGTTATACCAATGCCTCTTCTTCTGGTGGAAGCACCATGAATCGCTCTGGCTCCAAAGGCCAGCGCTCGCTGCTTGGAGCGCATTTATTTGGGCATCACGCCAATGCAAGCTCCTCCTCAACCTCGGTCGCCTTAACCGATCCCATGGCGTCTGTATCTTCTGCCTCAAGAGACGGTTCCAAGACTGACATTTTACGATCGCTAGCGAGGGGCGTTTCAAGCGCAAAGAAAGATGCCGCAGATCATTCCGCAGGGGCAAGCACGTCTTCAAGCCGGAGTGCGTCGCCAATGCCTTCCCCTTCACGCTCCTCCGTATTTGCTTTCGGTAGCAGTAAGCAGGCAGACCAGTGCCTAGAGGCTGCAGGTGGCGAGAGCATCTCTTCGCAGGAGGCATCTGCGTCTCGTGTCGCAGCAACTGACTCATCTAGTGCAACAGGATACCAGCTGCTGTGCACCGACGTCGATGCGCAGCAAGATGGAACAGTTGCACGTCTTTCAGCTGAAGAAGAGCGACGCTTAGAGCGTGAAGCGTCAGCCACGTTACACGACCACAATAGCTCTGCGACAGCTCCTCAACAAATCAATGCACCTGCAAGGAAGAGTAGCAGCCAGAGTGTGAGCTACATTTACGGCTATGTCTTCTTTCGACAGAGGAGGGATGCCGCAATCCGGAGAGGGTATTTTCAAAAGTCTCTCGTCATCCTGTCGCACTTGCCATACGTATCGCTATTCAGCCGCTTGGTGGCCAAGCTAGGACCGTTGTATTTTGAACACGGCATGCCTATGCTGGAGTCATTCTGTCATGAAGTCGCGAACTGGCCATCTCCGGAAGCGGGCTCTACACTCTCGTTACCTGTCTTGGGCACAGTTCTCTCAGCGGCATTGCCTCTCGGATATCAGACCCAGACCTCGAATGCCGCTCAGGCCTGTCTACCGCCAGCCACCAGCGCCGCCGGAAAGGCCAACTCTGTTCTTATTCGCAAGAAACGGAGGAGTCGAGGCGGAACAGCGGATGGGGAGGACGAGAATGATCCTCTACTCGCTTCCATTCCCAGCAATCCCTTGTTCGCTGTATTGCGGGATACGATTTCAGACCTTTGGCTGGTCTGGGAGTGCATGCTTCTCGCAGAACCGCTACTCGTGGTGGGCCCTGACCCCAAGCAATGCAGCGAGGCAGTGTGGCATCTGCTAGACATGATCAGACCCGTGCCATTCGGTGGAGATTGGAGACCATTCTTCACCATTCATGATTATGACTTCAAGACTCTCATCACAAGGAACAAACCTCTGGCAGGTACGATTTTGGGGGTCACCAATCCCTTTATGTTACAAGTGTGTAGCCACTGGCCGCATACTCTGCGCGTGGGCAAAGCTGCTCCAAAGCCCGCCAGGCATCTGAGCACTTCTAGCGTCAATCGCAAGCCTAGCTCTGGAGCTGGTCCAAGCGGGACAGCAGCGTCAACATCGAGTGGAGCTGGAGGCGGTATTGCTGGCGGCAACAGCGCCGGCGGTGGTGGTCCTGAGCACATTCCGGGGTTCACAAGCAAGCGCAAAAGAAGGATCAGCAAGGATAGGCCGCTCCTTCGCCGCCTATTGGAAATGGCCGAAAGGCGCGACGATGATGAGGCAGCCAATGCCATGCTGAGAAGGTATTTCTCCGACCTCACTGAGCGCTTCCTGGCCCCTCTCAATCGGTATGTCTCTTCACTAATTCCAGCTGGCTTGTGAGTGTTGAAAGCTTTGCAAAGCACGTGTGAGCAACGACTGCTGACTTTGGAACGCTACTGTACAGTAATCTATCCTCGCCCGCCGAAGCACCCAAAATCAAGCCCTTCAGCGAAACGGATTTTCTCGCCTCGCTTAGGGCTCACGGTACTCCGCTGCCGATCCGAAGCAGATCGCTGCCGACCGGCAACGCAGTGCGGCAGTCTCTATACCTCGATTTCCTCAGATGCCCCAACTTTGGGCTGTGGCTTCACGATAAGATTGTCGCTGCTCAGGAGGAACAATGGAGAAGAAGAGTTGCCATTTTGGAAGAAGGCGACGTCCTTTCCTATGCGCGAGACCATGGAGAGGTCGAAACTCTGGACTTGTGGGCCAGGCTCGTCGAAGAGATCGTGAGTTTCTGCTCCCTCAAACGACGATTCAAAACACTGACGATCAAAACTCCCGCCCCCCGCTGATGCTCGTAGCGTTCACTCGATGCAAAGATTTCAGCACCTCCTGAGCCCGGACCTGGGTCACGATGGCGCGTCGACACGCCGGCTACCAGCGCTGCTAGGGGCGGAGCCAAGGATTCGACGGATGGGGCGGCCAGGATAGCTGCTGTCAATTTGAGTCAGCATGCTGCACCTGTCCTTCCGACGAACCGCTCCATCGCCCATGCGCATGTGAGGGGCGCATCGGTGTCCACCATCAACTCGGGAACAAGCACAGGTGCGACTGACGGGCAAGGAAGAGGCTCTCTTCTAGCTCGCCGAGCTCGCCTCTGCGCTCAGCTTGACAAGCTTGGGCAGACCCTATCAGATGATTTGAAGGGCAGCCTGAGACTCAGTTGAGAAATATTAACGTCATTGACACGACATGCAGTCATCTATCGAGTTGTGACGCTGGATTTGACAATGAGCGGTGGGTTTCTGCGCGAACTCCAAATCGAGCTACAAATTCAAGTGTGGGCTTGCTGCTCTGTTCTCTCCAACCAGCGCCAGAAGCCCTGACTACCTTGTCGGAGCCAAATGATCAGAGCTGCGGCGTTGGAAGCGAAAGCATTCCTACGCCTGTATGAGAGCTGGGAAAGTACCTCTTGCCAGCCCAGATTCAATCTGTAAAGGCATTAGAAGTGGCGCGCTACTGGTCGCTCAATTCTCCAAAAGCGAAGGATAATGCTGATGTTCAAAGGCCGCGATGTTTCGTCCAAATTGCAACGCCAAAACGATAGGATTTCGAAACAAACAAGCATGGCGATGTACGGCTTCAGAACAGAACACCGACTGCATTTCTGATCCGTCCATCAGGTCGCCTCTAGAGGCAACGTGAACGCTAGCCTTTGGGCATCGTGCGGCCGTCTGGCAAGGGTTATCCGGTGCCTCGTAAGGAAGAAAAAGAGTAGATACGTCCGATGTGCATATCTTTTAAGCTATCGCCGAGCAGGCATTGTGCATCTGGGCGGCATTAGAGCTGGCCAGCCCGCACTGGCAAAAGATATGCGCCTTCAAAGTCCAATTGCGCGCCTTTGTCCTCCTCGATGTCCTCCGCGATGTCCTCCGCGATGTGATCCTTGGTTGCGTTTCTGATCTTCGCGTTGCATTCGGGGGTATTCGTTCGCAGCGACGTATCGAAAGGAGTCCAGCAGAATTTGCAGCGACTCTTCGTCCGTGAAGTTGCGACCTGGCAGGCCCATTCGAGCTATTTGAATCTCTGCCACTTTGTGTTTCAGCAAGCTCGGCAGACGAGCGCTCTCGATCTTGTCCTCGTAGAAGGAGGCACCATGACGAATGCCTACTTCATCAGCTTCGGCACGAAGACGTTCAAGTCTATCGAGAAAAGCGTTCGGTGTGTCGTTGTGCTTCCATTGATATCCATCCAGCTCATTCCGGATACGGGCTACAGCCGCAGACTCGAAGCGCTTGACGAGCATATTCCACGCGGAGCGAGCCGAATTTGGCAAGGTAATGGCGACATCCGGATCAACCGAAGTGAGGATGAGAAGCAACGCTTTAGCATCCAGCGTGTCCTCAATCTGGTCGAGTTGACCCACGTCTTTTCCGCCATTCAAGTGGTTGGTTGATTCAGGCGCGCAAGGAGCAGCCAGAACGACTCTGGTGAGGCCATTTGCTCTCAGCAAGCATCTCATGAGCTTCTTCCAGTATGGCCAGTGTTCCGCACTTGCGAGCTGTGGTAGCAGCGCGGGGCCCAAGCAAAGCGCTGCACCTGACTCCTCCAAGTGATCCACCCTTGCGAAAAGTCTCGAGTCGTAGATCATTGCTTGCTTGAAATTTGCGGTTGGTCTGAGAGCGTGGTGGTCGATGTGAGATTGACCTCACCCCTGTCGATGCAAGCTGTCGCGGATCAGGATCCATTCAGATGAGCCAGGCAGGCACGCCTCTCTGCCCTCGCTTTGACCTGCCTGATGCCTACAGTATGTGTCGACAAGAAGAGCGACAAGGGTGACTTGGCGTAGACCTGGCATGCACATGGCATTCCAACCCCGATTCATTGTGGCTTTGCTCCATCAGAAGAGCTGCATATCCTGCATACACGCGCCCGCGCGCTGCTGCTGCTGAATCCGTGTTGCATCAATAATAATAATTAACCTCTCCGTTGAGGGCCGCGTCTCGAAGCCACGTGACGCGATGGCCGCTTCGTTCAGACCGACGAGTCAAAATTCACCACTGCGCACCACCGGTTCTAGACGAGATGGTGGTCTGTGAGCTTTGGTGCGACGCAGAGTATGAGCGATGGGGGTTTAGAGCAAAGAAAGACTCTGCAGCTCAACGTAGGCGAGTGCTAAGACCATGCACACGTCACTGGACTTCATGGGTGGCAAGGTCTAGCCGTGAAGCGCGAGATACTTCAACGAGATCAGAGAGCACCTCCACAATGCTCTCCAAGCTTTGACAGCCGCAGCGGATGACGCCATCAGGTATTTCCAAGATAAGGGCGGCGTAGCCGTGGACGTGAAATAGATTGCAGTAGAAGACCAAACTGTTGCTAGAGGTGTCTCGAAGATCATGGTCGTTGACGGAGCGCAAGACGTTTGTTTTGCTGATCGCACGATCTACTTGATACTTGACCCGGGCACCAAAGGATACCACGTCACCTGAGAGCCCACCTGCAGTCGGACCGCACCACGTTGGCGAGCTTGCGGTGAGCATATGAGCTCGCCGATATGACACCCACCACGCGTCTCGCGTGGACTCACATTCTGACCGCGAAGAGTTCGGCGGGCAAGCCGAGCTGCACTTCTGTCTTGATGATTTCCAGCCCCGCACTTTCGAATACTCGTTCGAACGCTTTCCGAGACCTGCGGATGGTGAAGCAGATTGTATCAGCTTTCTCGCATGGACGACGGGAAGAAAGAGGGTTCCATGAGCCGCTAGTACTCACCTTGTGATGCTCTTGTCCTCCTCGTCAAACCACACGTTCTCTTCGCCGCTCTCTTTCTCTTGGCAAACATTTTCCTTGACGAATATGCAGCCCGACCCATCCAAGATAGCACCTTTGCTTGACTCTTTTGCTACCGCGCCGTTTGTCAGATCAGGTCTGATGAGCGATTTTTTGGCTGCTTGCAAGAACTTGATGAGGTCTTCGTCTGAAAGATGTTGCAGCATCCACTGAGCCCAGACAACGTCGTACAGCACTTGTTCGTCGTTATCTCCACCCTTCTGCGCCTTTGAGCTGCCGCTTACAGTGTCAGGCGCAAAGCGAGCTTCTTCGCGAAGTTTGTGTTGCTGCGCGGTCAGCGAAGACGCGAGACAGTGTGTCCAGTCTTGTAGCGTGGAAAGAAAAAAGGAAATAGAAGGCAGTTGTGTGCTTGATGACGAGAAGGCACTACTGTCATCGGAGGCGATGGGTTTTAGGGCTGGCCAGCTCGGAGAAGTCCGCACCGCTTCCGCGAGCAGCTGCACCAGAAAAGGAGCAAAGCAGCAGATTCAGGAGCCACAATTCAGGCCCCAATGCTTCACACGACATTGCGTGAGGTCAGCAGGCGCATACACGCCACTCACATTCTCCGCAGGCTCGACGAGATCCACATGTTGCAGCAATCTGCTTAGCACATCCCTGCTGACCCGTCCGACCCCAGCGCCCGTATCCAATCCCCTCGTCCGCCTTTCAGTCCTTGCCGACCTGCTAAGACTGGTCTCTGGCGCTCCATTGAGTTGCTCTTTGCTGCTTTTGACCTTGTCCAACCTAGGCAATACGCCAAGCAGGAACAAGCGACTTCCAAGGGCATCCACTCGAGGTAGAGTTCCTTTTCCATACCCTCCCAGTACCCCGTCTACTGTAGCAGCGACGCTTCTCCAGTACTCGACACCGCCCTCGACATCTGGTTCGGCTGCGTGCGACTTCGAGCCTGAGATGGACGGCCTGACTGTCGGCGGACTGGGAGACCTGGATGGGATGTCCAATGTCCGCTTGGTGGGCTTGCTCCTCGACATGCTGCCTTGCGCCAGACTGCGGCTGCAAGGATGCAGTGCAGGACTCGTGAGTGGATGATGGAGAAGGTAGGCAAAAGGAGAAAGGATTCTCGTCGATCTTTACAATCAAGAATGCAAAACGCTTCTCGCACTCATCGGTATCAAGACTACGAGATGCAGTAGGCGAATCACATGTGCCAATCAAAATTCACGATTATGCATCTATATGCTTTTCTTCTAGCCCGTCTGAGTTCAAGACTTGAAGTTACTTTTCGAGCACCAAGTCTTGAGTATCTATTTTTGGTTCATTTGATTGATAGGTTCGTGATATTCTTGATACAATCTGAATCTTGAATCAAGAATCAAATGATTGACTCGTTTCGGCGCACGTGACCCCACTACCACGTACCTCCACAAACTTCCCCTCGCGTTTGATTTCAGGAGTCACGAGTAGGCGACCCAACGATACACGATACATCCCCAAAGAGCGGAGACTCGAATTGTGACTCTTCATCTTCAGCTACTCAACTCTCTGGCTGTTACACGCAAGGACTAGTAAAGAGCGTCCAAGATTGGCGATGTCGTGCTGGCGAGCACCGAGGCTGCGGCCTTTGCTGAGTGCGAGACCTTTTGAATGCTGCGACGTGCACTCGGGAGGTGGTAAACGACGTCGTAGTTCGACTGTCCGCCCCACCTCCGTTCATTCGTCTTTCCGAGGAATATCAATGCCATCACCAATCAAAAGCAGGGCTAGCTTCAGTAGTGCTACACTCGCCTCTTCTGCGTCTTCGCCCTCCAATCCAGCAATCGCAGCTCCGACCGATGCAGAAGGCAGTTCAGGAGAAGGGGATGGAGGAAGGGGAGCGTGGATGTTCAGGCGATCCTTCAACTTTTTAGGCTGGTCAGCCGTCGTCATTTTTGCATTCTCTAGCACTACCGGTCTTTCGTACATCAGCGGAGGTAGCATGCTAGTGAGTCGCTCGTCAAGTGCTGATTGGAGTCTGGCCTATCAGACGAGTTCTACAGCAGTCCCAGAGAACTTACCGCCTGCATCACTTTCGCAGCCAACACTTCAAGGCCGCACAAAGTCACGCCAAGGCGACATTGTGCTTCTCTCCAAGCTGCAAAACATAAGCACGGCTTCGTGGACATCAGAGAAGGCTCGTCGGAGACCCGCATTCGCGCGAGGCAGCATTGGCGGCGCGGCGGGAAGGGGCTTAGAGTCGGATTCAGATGGTGATCTGGAAACGCTCGTAGGGTCGCCGGAGAGAGTAGGCGCAATCTACAATGATGCTGGCACGGGTGCAGCTCTTGGAGCGAGCGACAGCAGCAAAAGTGCGTGGAGAAATGATGGGAATAGACCTGGAGCATATGGGGGCGATTGGAATGTAGGCGACATCGTGGGGCTGCAGTGAGTAGACTTTTCCGCAGATGAGCAAAGCACAGCGTATGAGCTAGACTGATGGTCTTCGTGCGCCCTGGCGGTATCCGCTTGGATTAGCTCACCCCAAGATCCAAATCTTCACCTGGTCAAGCGCATCCTGGCCCTTCCGGGAGATACCATTACGCTCTCTGTCTCTTCCGACGCAGCGGCAGGGGGCGGCTCGAGATTCAGCTCCTCCTCAGAAGAGCAGCGCGGACAAAAAAGAATTCGAATACCTCTTGGGCATGTGTGGGTGGAAGGAGATGCGGCCGGCACTGAAATAGCGCGAGGCAGAGGCGGCCTGCCGGAGCAAAGGAGCCTGGACAGTCGGAGCTTTGGACCGGTGAGTCGGAGGTTGTATGCGTCGAAGGCAGAGCCAAAGACCGCTCGCAAGACAAGGTTGAGCTCTCTCAATCCCAGCTGGCTGGTCCAGCCTCTCGTCTGAGCGGCTCCTTACCCATCCGTGATTTGACTCCTCCTTTCGACAATGCGCTTCGCCAGGTCCCAATCGCGCTCCTCACTTCACGCGTCGTCTGCATCGTCTGGCCGCCTTCGCGCTGGGGAGCTCCAGCAGATCGCCCGAGCGCCTCCACAACTATGCGCAACACCTCTTCCGCAATCATCTCACGGACCGAGCGTCTGCCCACCAGTGTGCAGAGCAGCACCCTACCCCCGAATCTTGGCGTCCCGAGCGAGGAAGACTCACGACTGAGCCCATACACGGAGGACCTGGAAGCGGACGTGTCAGGAGATGTTAGCGATGCCGTGAAAGAGAAAGACGAGAGGAGGCGCAAGAGAGACGAGAAGCGGGAAAAGAGGAGGGGAGAATTCAGGCATGCTTGGAACGCTTTGAGCAGAGGTGGACAGCTTGGCGATGACGCTGCCAATGCCGAGATCGGCGCATGAACCCATAGCCGCTTGAACGCAGACCCAGAGGCGCCCCTCTGCCTACCAGCGCAGCCACCTTTGTGTTCGTTGGCATGCATTGGCTTCGTTGCTAGGTGACTTCGACATGGTACAGTAGGGCGTGCCAGCATCTGGGATTGGAAAGAGGTCGAAGGGGCTCAAGTGGATCATTACAAAGCTGATTGCATGAAGCGTGCGCTCGGTGCGCGAAGGCGGTATGTACGCGACGGCAGGCAATGGTGAAAGTCAAGTCTCCTTGCGGGCTGCAACTATACCTTGTGCTGTTCATCCGCAGCCCCCGCTTCCAATTTCTGTGCAGCATCGGCTTGATGACTGAGGTGTGCGGCCGCTGTGCCAGCGGGGACGACGGTAGAAGCAACGACCTCGTCGCTATTTGAGGGTGCGCTCGCCAAAGCTTCCATCTCCTGCTGAGCCAAATGTCTAGCCTGCTCCAATGACATTTCCTCCCATCCCGTCACTTCCACAATTTGCTCGTCCCCTGGGTAGGCCGGCAAGGCCAAAGCGTACTGGTGTTCTAACGCCTTAGGAATGAACCTCCCTCCGATGAAGTGGCGTACCGGCTTTGATCCCGTCACCAGTGATCTGATCCCGCTCTTGGGGGCTGTCAAGGACAACAGAACTTCGGGAATGAACCTCTCGCTCTGTCGTCCGCGCTCGGACTCCGCGAATACGGGCGCTGCGTTTGCTTCTCCACCTTCCTCGTCCACGGGCCAGCCTGATGGGATATCCACGGAAACCACTGGCGGGCAGGGCCGACGCATTTGAAATTCCATGCGCGACTGCGAAGACCGATAGGCGAACTCAGCAGCCCGTTCCTGACCGGATCGGAAAGACTGAGCAACTTACCTCCTCTATCAAAGCCTTGAGGACGTTTGCAAATGGTTCTCGGGGAGGTCCCTTAAATGAAAAGCCTGTCTCATGTACAACCCTGGCATGTCAAGGCTGCATCCATGCTCAACAGCGACTGTTGCTCAGCACGCACCGAAGATTGTGTCCAGAACCACATCGGCTTGATCTAGCGCGTCCTCGAAACCCGAGTCATCAGCCATAGCGAAGAAAACATCCAAGTTGCGCAGTTGCCGTTCCAGCCGCTGTTGAAAGGAGCGTGTGAGGGTGTAAGTGAGAGATATGAAAGGCTGCAGCGCCTTGTGGTGACTGAGGTACACGTAATGCACAGTATTCCCGTGAGAAGTGCGATCATTCCAGCAGCCCCGAAGGTGCACTTGCGCTCATGCGTAGTGACCCTAATGTCTGAGAGCCCCTCTGCACACTCACCGAGATGTGGTCGCCCTTGAGTCTTGGTGCCCAGACCAGAACATTGTACCCAAAGTGATGCAAATGCCTAGCTGCAACCAGCCCATCCCCTCCCTGATTGCCGGGGCCCACGGCGACGAGAATGACGGGAAAGGTATCCGGAGGATAAGATCTGAAGACGGTCTGTGCACATGCCAAGCCTGCCAGCTCCATCAATTGTTCCAACGCGTATCCATGCTGGTCCGGTGACATGAGTGCAGCATCGATCTCGCTGGCTTCGGATGCGCTTATGAAGCGAAGTGCTCGTGGTGCTGCGAGAGCAGCCGGAGAAGGGGCCAGACCTGTCGGTGGAGCCCCACCGACTTGGGCAGATGTCGTAGCTATCGACATAGTCCGCAGGCTCCGTTGAGGGTAGGAACTTTTCGATTGGCGACGCAGCTCGAAGCAAAGAGGCTTAGTAGGGTTCACAGAAAATGCTAAATGGCTCGGACTCGCAAGAACCTGTCGAGCACACTGAGGAGATCGATGAAGCGCAGCTTGGAGTAGCGGCCAAAGAGGTGGCGAACACCTGGGCATCCACTGCAAGTCGCAGTGTGTGTGCGAGGCAATGTGTTTGTGCCGGGATTTGAATGGCTTGTCTGGTGTTTATGTTGACGGAGCGCTGCTGTGCGGTGTGCGAATGCGGACCTCGCAAAAGCCGAGCTTTGCTTATTGGAACAAGCCACAGAGACAGATTGTCCAATACAAGTCTGAGCGTGCTGTGAGTGCGCTCATATGATGGTTGCAAGCTGAGACGCAAGCTTACAAATGCACGCGAAGGGTCCGTGAGTGCGAGTGCTGAGGGCCCGTGTCTGGGAGCTACAAGTGGCGCAAACGGAGTATGACCGGGCATGCACTCGACTCTGGTGACTGCAGACATGTACGACGGTAGTGAGAAGATCATCAAGGTGAGGTGAACGCTGCTGCCTGCGTGGTGATGCGATGCGTCTTTACCTCGGTTCAGCATAATTATTACATGCAAGTTGAGTCTAAACTCACCTACAGACGTGAGAGCTACAGTAGTCTGCTGCTTCTATATACCTGCACGTCCCCACCGCCCGTCCCTTCCTCACGGCTTGCATGCCGTCTCGTTGCCTGCACACCGATACGATGCAGTGTACCCTTATAGCTATTATTATAGCTCCGAAGGAGGGCGCGAGAAAGAAGAAAGATGATGCAGAGTGGACCCGAGGCAATCACGGAACGCGCCTCATGGCTGGCTGGCTGGCTGGCATGCAGCTGTGGGTGGGTGGCATGGAAATGCAGAGAGAGAACCTTAAGCGAAGTTGGTCTGCTGCACGGAGAGCGACGCAGCCAGCATGCAGGGCCCTTTCGCTTGACTGCTTGCTGGCTTTGCACAGATGTGCTCCATCGCTGCTCGCTGCTCGCTGCTTTGAGCCTTGGGCGCTGCAGCACGGCTCCACTCACAGACTGGCGACTTTGCTGTCTTACCATTCACATGGATCATAGCATCAGCTACTCAAAATTGGACATCCTTTTGCAGATGACTGTGCGCACCACCACTCACGACTCACGACTCACAACTCACGACTCACAACTCACGACTGTGCAACAGCTTGTCTACTCGTAACTGGAGCAGACCTCTCCTGGCGGGCTGACTGATGCTCATTCAGCACAATGAAGTGCTTACACACAGCAGCCAGGGCGCTGCACTAGACACCACTGTTGTGATTACTCTATAGTGATAATAGTCATCACGAGTCTGGCTTCTGCCTTCCCACTTTGCGACTCCATGCCATGTACGGATCCTGACTCACGACCACGCTGACCACACTCACGACCACATACTCACGACTGCATGTCAAAGCTGCGTGCACGACCTCGTGGCATGACAGCAATCTGCTGCCAATGCCCGACCATTGCAAACTGCAGCTGTGCGAGATGGCGCGCTGTCGGCGAATATGAGCTGCGGTTGCGAGCGACTACCGCTTCATGCTGACCAGCAAGCCATTGCAAGGCTCCACCGCGAACGGAATGAGACGCTTGCGCGACTGATCATCGAGGCTGGTGTCCAAGACATTGGTGGAGTATAACAGATACCTGCTGCGTGAAACCTGCATTCACGATTCTCTCGTCTTGAACTGCCGCGTCTGAGGGGCCGTGAACTGTAGTGAACTGTAGCACCTTTGCGAATCGTCAAGACGTGCAAACCGGTGTGACAAGGCTATGGATGGTGATGAGTCTTTGGATTCGTCGTGCAGGGCGACAAAGACACAACATGAACGCCGCATTTCTGGATGCGGGGATCGAGCCATGCGGACTTTGCACGACATGATCAAATTCCTCCGCTCGAAGCTTGTGCGCAATGTGAATGTGCGGTGGTGTGCTTTGCTGCCCTGCCCTGCCCGTGCTGAGCACGCGTGGTCCCCTTCGTACGCATCGCTCGGAAGCGAACCCCGGGCCTTCGCAGCGGAGCAGCATTACATGGCAACATCTCATCAGCTGCCCCATCTTGTTTCCATGTGCTTTGTGTGTGGCCTATGCTCACAACGAGGTGCCAGCCAGCGATTGCGCGAGTATGCCACCTTGTTTGACGCTCCATCCCGCAGCGGTGTGTGACCGCGTGACAGCCTCTCCTCTCCTTTTCCCATCCAGTCGTGAGTCTCGAGTCATCAAGTCTTGAGCCAACAGTCACAGTCTGCTGATGAGTCTTGCTTGACTCGTGAATTAGGCTCATTAATCAAAGCCACAACCGGCGTGCCAAGTCATCTTGAGTGGGTGCCTCACCTGCGCGCAATCACAACAAAACGCAAACGGACCGCGCCCTCATTGATTCACGATTTGATTCACGATTTGTGATTCAATTCTTGATTCAATTGCGCCTGACTGAAGCATCACGTGCCGTTTGCACCGCCTTCCCTGCTTCCGCCCCCGCCGGCCGCCGCGCGGTCTCCAGGGTGGGATGATTCACGATTGCAGCTAGGAGGCGCAGAACAGCTACTCGTGACTGTGCAGTCAGAGCCATACCGTACCGGTACATACTTTGCTGTAACACGCGCCCCATCAGCATCCAAGCAGCGCAGCTGCGTGTGCAGTTTCGTACATCAGTCACCAAGGGCAAGCACTGTGAAGTGCGCACAGCGCTGTCACCCTCATCATCAAAGCATCGTCCGATCCGCTCTTGACGGCATCTATACAGCACCACCTTGGCATTCTTGGGAAGCCATTCCTACCCAAGCCGTCCTTTTGGTGCTCCTCTACGTTCCCTCCGCCCTTTCTAACCTCATTCGCGAACAGCACCCTGTCGCGTTCACTTGGCACTGGCGCCCTCACTTGAGACGCCGAAAGCGGATCTTCGCCACTCGTATTGATCTCTTCATCGCCACATCGACAGCTCGGTTCTCTCTGTTGCAACAGAGAGAGGCACAACATCATTATGCCTCCTGGAGGGCCAAAAGGAGGTGCTGGTGGAGCAGTGGGTGGCGGTGAGATGGACAAGCGGACAGCAGCGTACGAAAGCATCTTTGGCAGGCCATCGGCCAAACCCAAAGGACCTGCTCCCCCACCTCAGTCTGGCGGATATGCACCGTATCAACTCCCACCTCAGATGGCAGCTACGCAAAATTGGGTACACAACCAAGCCATGGCAGGCTCGCAGCCTCCTGGTCCATACGGTCAACCACCACCTCGATGGCATTCCCCTGCGCCGCCTGGCCCCTATCGAGTGCCGACCTCTGGGCCACCGCCACACGTGGGTAGCGGTATGTATATGCCCTCTCAACCTTCCCAAGGAGGTCAGTATGGAGCCGATCCTATCGACCGGAGGGCTAGCACCGCCCCTTCCATCGCAAGCGGTGGGAGCGGCGATCCCAGGATGAGCTACTATGGGAATCCTGGCGGCCTCAATGCATCGGACATGTACGGTGCTGGCGCTGGCAGTCAAGGACAGGGTAATGGCTATCCGCAAATCCCCAGCAGGTCAGCCACGCCAAGCCAGAGTGGTGGCTATCCGGAAGTGCCTGGAT